ACATTAAAACATCGTGGCGCAACTTATATTATGATAAACAAAGATTTATTTGAAGATTCAAATAATTCTTATAATTCTTATGATTCACTCGAAAATTCAAATAATGTTTATAATTCATTCAAAAATTCAAATAATTTTAATGATTCATTCAAAGATTCAAATAATTTTAATGATTCATTCAAAGATTCAGATAATTTTTATGATTTATTTGAAGATCCAAATGATTTTTATGATTCATTTGGATGTTGTGTTTTATTTGAAGATTCAAATAATTTTTATGATTCGTTCGAAGATTCAAATAATTGTTATGATTCGTTCGAAGATTCAAATAATTCTTATGATCCAATTAAAGATTCAAGTAATTCTTATATATACGATTTATCGCCTTGCCATAATTCTTATAATTCTTATGGCATACAAAATCGTCGGGATCACACTAAATGGATTAAATCACTTGCAGATTTAAACCGATCACTACAAATTGAGCCAAATGATGCATTTGCATTAAGATATCGCGGAATAAATTACTGTAAGATTAGGAAGTATGAAATGTCACTTAATGATTTAAATAGTTCACTCGAAATTGAGAATGACGCATTTACATTACAACAACGTGGTGTAACTTACTATTATATGAAATTGTACAAAAAATCGCTCGTGGATTTAAATGGATCATTAAAAATTGACCCTGATAACGCTAATTCTTGGGGAATTCGTGGAAAGATTTATTATATGATAGGAGATTTTGAAAAGTCACTTGAAGATTTAAATAGATCATTAGAAATTGATCCAACTAATGCTATTGCATTAGGAAGTCGTGGCGCAGTTTACAGAGTATTGAAAAAATATGATGAATCACTTATATGCTTGAATAAATCTCTTGAAATGGAGCCAAATGATGCATTTACATTAAAAAATCGTGGTGTTGTTTATAGAATTTTAAAAAACTATAGTGAATCACTTGTAGACTTAAATAAATCACTTATAATAGAGCCAAATGATGCCTTTGCATTAATGCATCGTGCAGCGACTTATCTTATGTCAGATAAAGATTTAGACGATTCTTATCAAATAAATAATTATTCAAGGCCTTACAAACAATATCAAAATAAATACGAAAAATCACTTGACGATTTAAATGATTCATTAAAAATTCAACCAAATGATGCGTTTGCATTAAGATTTCGTGGAATAAATTATTGTAAAC